GGAAAGGGCTCCCGCCACCGCGCCGGAGGGGGCTGCGAGCCGGGTGCGGGCGCTCGCTCCAGCTGGGCTGCGGAGCCGCGCACGGATGGAGGGCCCCAAGGCGCTGTCCCTGCGCCCCGCCGTCTGCTCGGGCTGAAAAAGTTTCTCCATGGTTCCTTTGTGTCGCCCGAGCGCCCGGTCGCCGGCCCCGAGCCCCCCTGGTCTCCCTGGGTAAGTGAGAGATTGTTTGCCTATAATGCTGCCATTTTGAGCAATTCTGTCACTCCTCAGCCCCGAGCTGCCCCTCCCCACACCTCCGTCCCTCGAGCTGGGTCCCCCGGGCTGATGGCGTTCGGGGAGAGGCTTTCTCCTGGGCAGGCTATCCGGGACACGCTGCCCAGAAAAAGCGACTTCAGGATTGCCCTCACTTGGCTGCTGCCTGTCTTCTTTCCAGAAGCGGATTCCCACTGCTGCACTCATGTGACTCCAACATAAATAAGCAGCCCCAAACCCGGGAAGGGGGTTCACTGCCCTGCCGGCGAGGCGCCGGGGGCGAGGACCTGGGTTGGCGGCCGGACGGAGCCTGCTGCTCCCCGCCTGTGGGTTCTGAGCTTCAGTACCGCCGAGGGGGGCTTAATCCATCATGAGCAGAGAACTCGAACGTCTCTCCTGGAAGCAGTTGTATTTTTAGACATCCCTCCTTTGCTTCCCCCATCCTCCATTCCTTAGCCACGGAAAGACCAGCATCAGGCAGTAAATTTCGAGCGCAGCCAACGTCGACTGCAAAGTTTGTTTTCTTTCCTTAGGAGTGCAGGAAAACCTAAGAGGTGGGGTCTGGCCCTTTGCATCTGACTTTTGTCAGTATTTGACGTCAAATGGAGATATGGTAGAAAGGAGTTCGGCCTTCAACAGAACTGAAGAAATTAGTAAACTAGGGAGCTGATTACTAGCGGTTAAACTAATTTTGAAGATCTGTAAACGGTTGTTGAAATCCATTCCAGACTTTCTACCAGAGCCAAAACTGCCTTGCTGGGAAGAAATACAAGTGGGTACCTTTCTCTCCCACGACATCCAGCATCCTGGTGCCCCTCCAGAATGCCCAGCACAATGTCGGTCCTTCTGTGGGAGAGCCACCCTGCCCATGGAGTCTGTGTTTGTGTCTAAGATGTCTGGTCTTTAAAGCCTTCTGCCTTGACCACAGATCTCCAGGTTATTAAAGATGCTGGAGTCTGGGATCACTTGAAACAGCAGTCTCTCTGTTACAACTATATAATAAATGTGCTTATTGGGGGAAGGGTGAGAGATGGACAGCAAGCTACTCTTTATTTTTTTACAATCTGTTTATATGAACTTCTAGTGTAGCTCCTTCTTCAGAGAAAATTGACAAGGTTTCTAGATGTAGGCTCTCTACTGACCCCTCTCACCTAGCGTGTCTCTTTACTGAAACCCAACCCAGTTCCAAGACATACTGATCTGCAAACATTGTGAAGAGCTGATTACCATTTGCTTTCCCATCATGGAGAAAAGATCCTTCCTATATATTGATAGAATGAAGAGAGTCAAGGCCCAAAGCTTTCCACCCAAGCACCAATAAAAGGCAACATTCTACCCAAGTAATTCCCCATTTTCAAAGGACGGTTTATTCTAAACTATGAATTATCTTATATAGAATATAAGGCTTATGAGTGATATCTAAATCTTTCAGGTTTCACACAACACCCTTAATTTTAGCATTTCTTTTATATAGTAGGAAACACAACTAATGGAACAGAAAATATTTTTACTCGAGGGAGTCAGCAAGACTGAACATTTCAAAAGCTGCCAGATAACCACAAATACTCCTCTGTGAATTGACCTATCCAGACTGTATTCCACACAACTAGATAAACTCCATAGGTATAGTCTACTGAATATTGCCACTCTCCCATCCTAAAAGTGACCTCTCCAGAAAAGAATGAAGGAAACAGCTTTTACTGGGGAAATGTCTTTCTACAAATCATTATTATTAGTAGAATGCTCTACCTAGTTAATTGCCTACTCATTTGAATACTGAGATTCTATTGAGTGCTCTGGCACATTAAGGGAGGGTGAGAAAGCTATTATGGCACAGTGCTTTTGATTATTATTATTAAAGATTGTAATTTTCTCATATGAGAAAGAGACCTTTGTCTTGATTCCAGAGTACTTTCTGAATTCCCTGATGAAAACTAGCACATGATACCTTTAAGGGAGTTCCTCTGAGGGAGGAGAGAAGGCCAGAAGGAAGAGCTCTGTTACATAACCATTACCTAAAACTAAATATTCCACCCCAAGAAGCTGTCCAGATGTTGCAGAGTAGAGATGAGAAGGCTGGGAGAGGCATCTGCTCGCTTTTAGCTGTCGGGACAAGAATAGATGGGAGACAACTTTGTGAAGGGATTTACTGTCAGGGTATTGGAATATCTCTGATGTTTCCCCAGCAATGAACTCCATTAATTATCTGAAGTAAATAAGCCATCTGCCTGCCAGTATACGACCTTTGATTTTCATCCAGTGAAATGAATTCCTTTCATCTTCATACAGTAGTAACTTTCGTGGCTGTTTTACTGACTTTGGGCCCTATGTTGACAGATTCCTGGGCTGAGAGATTTGAAACTACTCTAGGAGCTCCCTTGGGAAATCCTCTGATTCCAGTAGGACTAAGCGAAAGGCCCTTATCAGGAAAGCCCTCAACCACTACTTTGAATCCCCACAGTTAGTTTTCGCGAATGGTGGGAACTCCACTGGCTGCCAGCCATGAGAGTTCGACGTGAGTAATGCAGGATGCTGCCTACAGAGTGTGTGTGGAGTGGACTGGGGGTGGGGAGAAGAAAGGTTCTCTACTTTTCTTATCACCACCCATCAGCTGTCTCAGCATTTCCCTTGCCTAATGTCCACCCCACCCCTGGTCTTTACATGGCCTGCCAGTCAGTGGGGTAAAGCCCTGGGGTGGAGTGGGGGGGGGGGGGCACCGGGGGGGGTTTGTGGG